CATGTTAATATTCTCTGGTGGTTCATAAATGCTCCCCAAGTTTATTAATTCTTTTCAAAATCCCAAAATAAGGGTAGAATCATTGGGAAGTCGCTTTCGAATCTCGTCAAATATTTCACCTTATATAACTTCGCATAAGGGTTTATATTACTTTCCTTACACTTAGTAAGGTCTGGGGTGGTCTTTAAATAATACCTCAATAATTGATCAAGTGCTCATAAGGTCTTTATCCTTTAAATAATCAAGTATTGAATTCCCCACAATGAATATGGCTCTTAATTACTTCTATATGACCTCAACATCATTTCTATGTTTTGTAGTTTCCTAAGATGTTGAGAACCCCAAATCAAGTGTATGTATTTGATGACTCCCTAAAATTAATCTTATGGAAAATGGTTTAGTATTCTCCATAATCAAGACCTTTTCTCCTTCCTCAATGACTTGATATCCAAGCAACTTACTCTTTCTAGTTAAGTTGTATGGATCATTAACTTATCAAGGTCTATTCTTTCCATCCAAGTTTGTTAAGATTTCATCAAGACTCCTTGATTTCTTCTAGAACCTTGTTCTAAGACTTATAGTTTCATAAGAGTCGCACGTCCAAAGTGGATGATCACTTTTCTAACTTCTAAAAATAAAGGCAGATTTATTAGGAATTGGAATGCACTTAGTATCATAATATACTATTAACCTCAAGTTTATCCAATATGGGTGACTCTCAAAATCTCAATCATTGATCGAGTTCATCTAAGGTCTTTAAGTATGGATTTTTTATTATTGAGGCATATTAGGATCCTTCGGTAATGGGGTCCACCAAAGGTCTCATTAAGATCGATTACATTCGATAATGAATTCCATCTATAAGGTTAAGTATTATGAACTCCCAAAGCTTTAAAATGATCACTCTTAAAGGGCACGACTATTAAATGTTTAGTTTTCAAGGTGGTCTCCCCTATTTTACCTAGTTCACTTGTTTTTATCCACTCAAGATATCTAAGAAATGTAGAAGTCCAAGTTAGGTATGATTTTGAGTTATCTCTAATCATCTACTTCAACTTAGAAATGGGAAACATGTTTTGATAGTTGTCCCACTACTGGTTGTTGTTCTCCAATAATACTTGTCATTCTCTTCTTGAAGGTTCAAGGGTATCATTTTATTTTTTTTGAGAAACTACTTTTAGGAATATGGTTTGGTTATAATTCTCAAATGGGTGATAATATACCTCTTCTTATGTTCTCAACTTATTCTCTACTTGAATGGGAGGGTAATCCTTAGAGTTGTGTTGAACACTTTCATAGTTTGAACTAGTATTTCGTAATGGGGTAACAACATTCTTTTCTAGTAGCTAATCTTTCTTTGATCAACAAAATAGCTCATATCCTCCAAAAGGCATGTTTTATTCACATGATTTCAGGATCTGTAAGATTCATTCTTCCAAGTCATAACAATGTTTGACCTTAATACTTAGCTAATCTTTCTTTGATCAACAAAATAGCTCATATCCTCCAAAAGGCATGTTTTATTCACATGATTTCAGGATCTGTAAGATTCATTCTTTTAAGTCATAACAATGTTTGACCTTAATACTATCAATAGGATGTTTACTCAT